GTATGGATTCAGAAAGCACAACCTTGCACCTGGAACCTTTTTCCAGTTCTGCTTCAGGAGAGCATTCTGAAGATACAAAGGTCAGATTATTTATAAAAATATAGTTGATCTACATTACCAGCATCATTGGCTAATATACTAAATTTCTGACATAAAGAATAAGAATGAACTCTCCCCTTTCACATATTTACTTGAAGATCATTTTATATCAGTTGCTTTCAGTTTGGTGGAGAGAACTTTTATATAACCGTTTTGTTATATTTTCGACTGATTTATGGTAAAACCATTTAACTTGATTTGTAGTAACTATTCAGCATAATTTAAACTAAATGTTAGACATCTATAATAGATCAGAGACATGCATATCAAAATGAATATTTATATTAAAAAAAGAAGAAGCATGAAATAGTGAACAACTGAACATGGATCACATGTGTATATAAATTTAGGTTATATATGTGCATCTAATCTCTTGCAAGGAATTGTTGAATACTGTATACTTTTGATGTGTGTTATTGTACTCGACTTGAACTAGCTTATGGATTTTCGATTTAATTTAATTTTAATCTTGCATTTTTTACATGTAATGTATTAAATGTGTTCAAAGTTTTTTAAAGTGGAAAGTGCAGCAGAGTGATGATGAACTACCTTGCTTTAAAGTGCAATGTGCAAATTAAAGTGTCGCCTTTTGAAAAAAAGCAACACGAATTGGGAAACATCAGATTTATATTTTTAATTGATACATAAATGCTTTGCATGCAATATTAAGCTAAAATTAGTTTATTTTAGCTGATTATAATAAAACAAGCATATTTGTCTGGTCAAATAGTCACAAACATCAATACTAGTTAATACTAATACACGCAATGCAATCCTAATCAGGATAATCCTCCTGAGAAGCAGGAGTTTCAGTTTGTGATGCATCCGTGTTACCGTACTTTGGATTTCTGCCGAGATATTGCTTTCAGAGTATGCATATGTTTTTTAGTTTAGGGTGGGTTGCTTTGCACTTTTCTCAATGATAGAGGATGCTGGTTGTAGCTGGCTGCTAGTACACCTCAGTAATTTTCCAATGAAAATTCTTGAATATGAAAGAATATGTGGTCTTGTTGCTGACTTCTTCAGCATTATATTGTGCATTACATGATCTTTATTAAATTTCCTTCATGTACCTTACACACTGCTATCTTGTGGTGCCCCCTGATGAAGAATTCAGCATTACATGATCTTTATACTTGTTGTCAACACATTGTACCATAGTGACTTGCCTGCATATTCATTAAGAAATACAGTAACAGCTGGAATTTTCTTTTCAAAATTTTGACTTGTTTTAAGGGCATCTTAAATTATTATTTTCCTTCTTTTCTGTAAACTGTTAATTTTGGAACTTATATCCTTTCACTCTTTCAGACTCTCTTCTCTCTGAATATCTTTGGTTCTTTGACTGGTGTGGGTGTGTTTTGGTTTTGGCACTTTGCAGCAACATTCTGTTAATCTGTTTACTAGTAATTAGGAGAGGTCTTTTAATTGTGGTCATATTCTTCTTTTAAATGGGAGCTGTTGAAATATTGCTGATTGGTTATATTTTGTCCTCAAACATTTTTCCTTATTTTCTTTTTCAATGTTCACTTCCTGCACTACCTTTCTGTCAATAGCTATAAGCCCATAATGCTTGTTTCTGTAACAATGCTTACTTTAATATATTTTCACAGGTAGTGGACCTTGAGCTAAATGAATTCTATGACGAGGTTGTTCATGATATGGAAGAAATATTACTTGATTCTGGTGAACCTTCTGGATTTGCTCTTGGTAACAGGATATATCAGTCCTATATACCTCTTGTCTCAAGAGATGGTGGTTCTACTGCTTCAACTTCTGGTACAGACGATGCTTATCCTGTTATTCAGCACCCATGGAGGATTAGTGGAGTTGAAGTTATAGGTGCAAGGCAGAAAAATGGGAATGTTTCTCTCAGTGAGCGTATTCTTGGAGTAAAAGAATACACTGTTTATAAAATAAGGGTGTGGAGTGGAGAAGAAAGTTGGGATGTTGAACGGCGGTTCCGTGATTTTTGTACACTTCACCGTCGTCTGAAGAAGTCATTTGCAGAACAAGGCCGGGTTCTGCCTTCTCCCTGGTCCTCCATTGAACGAGAATCAATAAAGGTTTTTGGCAGTGCCTCTCCAGATGTCATTACTGGAAGAAGTGTTCTGATTCAAGAGTGTTTACAATCAGTTCTGCATTCCAGGTTTTCTTCTGGTCCCCTCAATGCTCTGATTTGTTTCTTGTCCCCATCACTGGATATTCCTAATTCGCCTGATTCTGATACAAATGTACCTCGGTCTCCACCCTATTTGAGAGACACAAGCAAAGGAGATATTTCAACTTTTGGGAAAACTATATCGCTCATTGTTCAAAACCGGCCATTTAAATCTGTGAAACAGTTGTTGGATGAACAACATTATGCTTGTGCAGGCTGCTATATGAATTTTGGTGATGGAAAGAGTCGTATACAAGAACTTGTACAGACACTAGGGTGGGGAAAGCCTCGTCTTTGTGAATATAGTGGCCAGTTGTACTGTTCTTCATGCCACACAAATGATACTGCTGTCTTGCCAGCAAGAGTTCTACACTGTTGGGATTTCAATCACTATTCAGTTTCTCAGCTGGCTAAATCTTATCTGGAGTCTATACGTGACCAGGTAATGAGGAAACCTTCCCACAATATATTTAACAAAGTACTGTTTTGACTTTTGAGCAATACATTCTTTTGAAGAGAAAAATGCAGTCTAATACATAAACAAATGTTCCGAAATTCAGGAAACAGTAGTTTTACTCTCCTCTCTCTCTCTCTCTCAATCAATCAAACACACACACTCAGAGATAAGTGAAACTATACTTATGCAGTTTTGGTGCACAAAAATTTCATGCGCCAAATATTTACTTAAAGCAATATTAATAATAATAAAAAAATAAACTCTTATATGGCTTTCCCTTCTAAAATATTTGGTTGAAATGGGCCTTTGAGGAACAGTTCTGTCATTGACAATAAATCCTTGTTCTCAAACTGCTGAACTCATAATCTTCTGTTTCTGAAATAACAAATTAACAATTTATATATGAATATCAATAGAAGTAGATCATGCATTTAGTTGGGTTTTTTTCCTTTTTAAAGAACATTTATTTTGCCTTGTGGATTAAGAATATGTTTGTGTTTCTTTTCCAGCCAATGCTTTGTGTGAGTGCTGTAAACCCTGTGCTATTCTCAAAGGTTCCAGCTCTGCAACATGTTACAAATATAAGAAAAAGAATAGGAGCAATGCTTCCATTTGTCCATTGTAGCTTTCGTGGCTCTATTTACAAGGGGGTTGGATCTCGCAGATATCTTCTTGAAAGCAGTGACTTTTTTGCGCTTAGGGACCTTATTGATCTCTCCAAGGGTGTTTTCGCTGGTTAGTGTTTAAATTATGTTTGCAATTTACAAGTTTCTAAAAGGATGAAATGTATGTGAATGCGCTCTTTTTTATTTTATTTTATAATCTTTTATGAGGTGCATTAAGATTACTATGTGTCTTCATTGTCATCATGTCATGCACATGCTTGATATCTTTTTTGTGTCATTATAAGTAGTATATTTTGGCAAGATCTGTTACGCCTTCTACGCTTTGGTGTGTGTTTGCTATTGAAAAATAAGAGAACGTATTAGCTCCAGCATCTACTCGAATTCGTTCTATGATTGTGTTCTTTCCTTAACCTCCTTATTTTCTTGTTTTCTTTCTAACCTTAATTCCTTGAGGAGCCATGCAATACCATGATTTGTTAGTCAGACTGCTTGGTTTACAATCTGTAGCTGCTCTCTTTTTATTCATATTCCAATTTACTTGGATTATAAAGAGAAGAGAATGATCCCTGCTTATTGTAAGACTGCCCTCCTGAGAAGGGCTGTTAATGGAGGGTAAAAAGTGGGGCAAGTAAAGGAGGAAAAGAATTATAATGGAGCCAAATCATTTATTTTATTTTTTACTCCTTTTATATTCTCTTTCGAACTATTTTTGAATCACTATGACCTCCACATTTATTATATTTTATGATTTTACGATGTTATCCCATTTAATGCAGCACTGCCAGTGATGGTAGAGACTATATCAAGAAAAATAACGGAGCATATCACTGAACAGTGCCTCATATGCTGTGATGTGGGTGTTCCCTGCAATGCTCGACAACATTGTGATGACCTGTCTTCTCTCATTTTTCCTTTCCAGGTAGGCATATTTTAATTTCAAGTTTCTTCATTCTTAATTCAAATCCTATCTTCAGTCAATGCAATTTCAACAAGAACTCCCGACATGTGATAGTTGAGGTCTGAGGAGTTTCCATTGTAATTTGTCAAACCTTTGAAGTATCTCTGTGATACACATTAAGATCTCATTTTTCATTGGTGCCCTCAATTTTCTTGGGATTTCCTTTTCCCAATAAAGTTTTTAATTTCCGCTCTTACTTGCACTCCAAAGCTTACATATTTGATGAATTCTCAGCCTTCCCAAACGGCATTATGGATATCAATTCTGAACTGATTCAATTAGAATGTCCTTTAACAGGAAGGAGAGGTCGAAAGATGCAAATCTTGCAAGTCAGTTTTCCACAAAAAATGCTTCAAAAAGATATCCACTTGCCCTTGTGGTACTCAATTGAATCCAGAGGCAGAGAGCAATGCAACTAGACGCAACCAGAGCATTATTAATGATGGGAGTTCCACTCTGGAATTGTCAGGAAAGAGGCCAGACTCGAGTAAAGGCTTTCTTTCTGCATTATTCCCAAAGGTAAAGTCACTGAGGTCTTCAGGGAGTAGAGAACAAGGGCACAAACATAGCGATACTGTTATCTTGATGGGCTCATTACCAAGTAACACCCTCTGAATCCTCGTTTTGCCTTCAGTGTGTATTTTTTCTTGTCCTGGCATATTTGTTAGTTCCCGTATCATTATTTGGGCTGATAGTATATTAAAACCTTTGCTCTTTCTTTCGGATTTGGTCGATTTTCCTTGCCTGATTGTATTCTTTGTAAAGAAATTTACATTTGACTAGCGCAATTCTTGCTCTTCCAGACTCTAAGTTGTTGCTGTAAATGAAAAACTTCAATAAAAGGTTAGTGTTGTTACAGATACTGACGGGTGATCTGCCTTTGCTTTCTCGAGACTATTTAAACAAAGTAAGATGTCAAATTTAAATATACGGACAAGTGAAATTAGACTTGATAGCTTTGATCTCCTTCTTTTATACAAAAAATCTATCTTCCATAATGGATACAAGACCAAATTGGAGAAGTTAAGCCCTTACTATCTATATTTATTAGCAACCCAACTCAATATCTAACGATTTAACATCTTATCTCTAATCACATTACTTCAAATACCTTTATATTGTATCAACCAGAATGTTTTGCCAGATAGTATTAGAAAACTTTTGCTATTAGACAAACAATGGGGGTATGTGTTTGGTAAATAGCTGTTAGCTGATTGAGTTAGTGAGTTTGACTAGTTGATAATATTAGCTAATTGTAGAGAAATGTTTGGTAAATTAGCTGATAGCTGATTACATGCAAAATGTATATTTAAGGAAGGGATCAGGTGCGGGAGGGGCTTCCCGTGCGGTTGGACTCACATTAAGCATTAAACTGATGCATTTTAAGTACACAACACACGCACATTAAACAGACAAACAAAATACCTTCAGAACACAAACCCACGCACCTTAAGCACAAAACTCAGCACAACCCTCACGCACCTTAAGTACAAAACTCACGCACCTTAAGCACAAAAACACACGCATCTTAAAAGTTTCAACAACTACTTACATTAAGCACAAGCTCACACACCTTAAGCACAAGACTCACGCACTTTAAGCACAAGACTCACGCATCTTAAGCACAAAACTCACGTACCTTAAGTTTCAACTACTATTCACGTTAAGTACACACCCACGCACCTTAAGTACAAAACTCACGCACATTACTCACCGCACAATTGCACGGGAAACATGCACCCGCACTGGAACTTAATTATATATATATATATATATATATATATATATATATATATATATATTAACAAATTTACCACTTCTAATTTTGTACAGCAGTTTATTATTCCGAGAGTAGACAGATTGTTTTCTCAATACTTTTAGACTTTGATTTCTCAGACATTATCTTAAATCGAACAAATGACCTGTTTGTATTAGACAAACTTAGTTGCACCCGTGCGATGCACGGCTATATATATAATTTATATTATATTTAATATAATATAATAAGATGAAAAAATATACATTTTAAAAACTTAATAAAATTGAAATGATGAATTTAGTAATTTTATTAGACATTGTTGAAGACTTCTTTTTTGAACCCATGCGATGCACGGCTACCTATATAGTACATAGAATATTCCGTATAATATAATAAAATGAAGAAATATACAATTTAAAAGGTTACTAAATTTGAAATGAGGAATTGTGGAATGTTATTACACATTGTTGAAGACTTCGTTGTACACGACATTTTTAGTCGTACTAAGATATGGTACATTTTCGCCACAAATCAAAATTTTCAAACTCCTTGGGTTACTAACTCTTGAAACAGCTACGTACAATTGGCCATGGTTAAAGAGAGGTGTTTTCAACAGCAATCCCACTTTAGAAAGTTTTTGTCCTTGACTTTTGTTGATTGTCATGGCATATGATAGCATCAACGGGAATTGCTTCCGTTGAAATTTGCAAGGAAATCTTGGATCTGATGGTGTAAGTGACATTCTAGGAATTAATACTCTTGTTCCTGCATTTGTACAACACATGATTTTGCCTTCCAACACGTGATCAGCTAACCTAGTAACAATCAACCTTGTACCGTTGCATAATCCTAGTGTGTGATCAATATTTCTCAAGAGTATAACAGGTGACCCAACTTTCAATGTCAAAGCATGATTTGGTACTCCAAAACATCTCAGGCTATTCAAGAATTCGGGAGTGTGCAAATCTGCTAACATATCAACATTTGAATCTGACTTACAAACAGAATCATAACTCAAGTAAGTCTTACCCTCAGCCGGATTATGATCATTCATGTATTGGTTAATACTATCTACCACATCCAATGTTGGAGCCAAAATAGCACTATCATTAAGATATGACAGATCGCCAATCCCCAGCCTAAAATGAGGGAAGGTGCTATCAACAATTGTAGCAATAGGGTCATCCTCGCACTTCAGCAATAAATGTTCTGGAACTGTAATATCTGACTCACCATCACTTGAATTACCAACAGTTCTGTCACCTATATTAGCTATCCATTTTGCAAACTCCTCAATCTCTTTACCCTCGATTTGTGATTGTACACTTCTTAGGCGTAGATTCTTAGTTAGCCTAAATACTTTGCAGGATTTCCAAAGATATGAGGAACTAATGCTTGCCCGAATAATATCCTGTCTGGTACCCTTCGAAATTACTGGTAGAATCTGCCTGAAATCGCCACAAAAAACAACTGTTTTACCACCAAATGTCATTTCATAACTCCTTGGATTTTTGAAGCGCAACAAATCCCTCATAGTTCGGTCTAGGGCTTTAAAACAAAATTTGTGCATCATTGGAGCTTCATCCCATATTATCAACTTGCTTCGCACAATAAGCTCTGCTAATGGACTGCCGTGACTTATGTTGCAAGTGGAATCTTCATTAACATATATCGGTATGGCAAACTGAGAATGTGCAGTTCTTCCACCTGGTAATAAAAGCGAAGCTATGCCGCTAGATGCAACATTTAACACTATTTCCCTCTGAGACCTTAAAGCGGAGGACAATGCTCGCCACAAAAACGTCTTACCAGTCCCTCCATAACCATAAACGAAGAATAACCCGCCAGCTTGGCGATCAATATCGGTTAACACCTCATTGTATATGACCTTTTGCTCTTTTGTTAACTGCCTTACCAATTCCTGGTTCTCTTTTTCCTGATCTACACAGTCATGATAATTCTTCTTGTATAAGCCTGTTTGATATAACATCAAAGCCGCAAAATTTGCCGTTGGCATTTCAGGATAGTCCTTCAAACTCTTACCATGAATTGATAACAGCTTTTCAATCTCCACTAAAGCAAAGTTCATCTTGTGAGATTCAATCAACACAAAATCTGCATAAGTTTATATAAAAATATACTAATTAAAATAACTACGTTAAAGCTCAATTGATATTTTGTTAGCAATATAACAAAAAGAATCTGTAGAATGTATGTGTACCTCTATTGTGCAATTGTTTGCGGACCTGGAATTGTGCATCATCAGACAATTGTGGCCACACAGCATTCCAAACTGTTTCCGGTTTACCCATGCAACTGCTCATTAGCAATGTAACAAATAATCTCCTCAACTGATCTCCTGACGCCCAATGACTGGCTTCATCTATTGCATCAACATATTCGTTATCATCATCAACTAAACCTCTTGCATAACACGCATCTCGAAATGAGGCATAGTGGACACCGTTGACAGTCCTGATATCTGCATAACTTGTAGGGCCACGTATTTTATTCAACAAACACCTCAAATAAAAGATTTCTCCAGTCGCAGGCGGGACATAGAAGATCCTTCCGATTGAGAACCCTTTTTTCCGTGGCTGCCATTTTCTAAGGTCTTTCTTCTACATGAATCTTGTTGGCATCTCAACATAAGTAAGCTCTCTTGCATCTGGGAATGTATTATTAGCTTCAAACCATTCCATGAACATGCTCTGTGCTATAGTGGGTTTATTAACAATGTTCTCAACAGGATCATCATCTGTAAAGACCATACTCTGTTGATTAGGAAGGTGAAAGCTTAACCTTTCCACTGAAGGAGCCCTAAGCTGTATATCAAAACCAAACAAACGCCAAACCGCTTCACATGGGGATATGTACCTACAGTCATAGTACATATTAATCTCATCTATGACTTTTTCATTCCCTTCATCATTGCTTCTTTTGTAGAATTCGGCAGTTACCCGATCATGACCCTTGTTAACATACTTGAACAGGTACTTGATTGAGCGTGACTGGTTGCACCACTCGACATTTATATGAGCCTTGTACTTAAGTAATAAATGTCTATTGTACGGTACCACATATCTGTTGTCCAACGCGATCCCGTTCTTTGTAACTATACTGCCGTTGTCTCTCTGTCTATATATCGGATAACCATCGTCATCAAATGTAGAACACTCAACAAATCTCTTAGGAAAATGTTTTGAACATCGCCCATTTACCATACATGGAGAATTGCTCCTTGCTTTTCCACATGGACCATGCATCATAAATTCCTCTACAGCGTTGTAATATTCTACATCTGTATTTTCATCTGGTATCTCAGTGAAAATGATTTTGTTTAGAGTAACCACTTGACTAACTTCTTTATTTTTCTCCAAAAAAAGCAATATATGAGCATGCGGAAGACCTCGCTTTTGGAACTCAATTGTATATATAACTGTAACATAATAGCAATAATCAAATAAAGGGAAGGGAATTTATGCTAATTGTAAAGAAATTGGTGTAAGACTAAACAAAAAGATTACCTCCAGCTACAGAGCCAAAAAGTTTATTCTTTCGACAATCAGCTATCAAGGAATCCAACTTCATCTTGAATAAACGGCAAATTATGTCAGGTCGGTCTTCTGCTTTCAACCTTCGATCTTTTAAAAAACGTTGGACCTCTGGCCACTTTGGGTTGCATGTAAACGTTATAAATAAATCTAGGTATCCAATCCATCTACATATTGCCATGGCATCTTGGTAGTTTTGCATCATGTATCGAGCACCATCTGTAAAACTTGAAGGTAGTATTATTCTCTGACCTTGTGCTCCGGGGTTACTTCACCCCTTGTTAAAGTGTCGGTCAACCCACTATATGTTTCACACCTTAGGCTTTTTCGGTGTGTCCTAATATAAATGAGTCTTCCTGACTCAACCATTGTGTATCCATCGACAACGAACTGTTGGAACAACCGCTTTGCAAATAGAATGGTACTCTGAACATAATTTCTAGACTGTATGCGATAGCAAAAAAACTCCCTGGAGCTAATCCTATGTCTACCACCAGCAGAATGGCTGCCGAGTACGTTCGAGAATGCAATGTCTTCCCGATAACCATCTTCACCATATGGAAACAACAATGGGTATTGCAGTGGTAGGTATGAAGGATTTAATTCACTGATTCTCTGCAATTGCCCACCCTTAGCTTGAACCACAATATCACGCTCACCAATACTGGTATCAAGATCTCCAACTATTAAAGCTGCTACTTCAGACACTTGCGGTAGATTGTATGTCCTTGCATCTTTAGTGCGTTTTCCCAACAACTTTATTTTCACTTCAGCGCATGGATTACTATCAAGCTCAGACATAGCCATCCGAAATGACTTAACCAAAACATTATTCTTATCTAGCTCCCTCTGAATGACATTCACTATTTCTACATGAATGTCATCTTGCTCACCACTACCCCTAAAAGAAAGAAAAATATGCACTGATAAGGATCTAAATAAAAATATTTAACATTTATTGTACTAATCACAGTTTGTTTACCTGACAGCATTTATACGGTTGTTCTTTTCATTTGCCGTGTCGTATATGTACAACTGGGCAAAATTTGGTGGTTTGCCTTCTTCTGGAAGGAGACTGCCTATTAGATGATAGTTTTGTCCACTTAATCGGAAAACAGGTGGTCTGCCGCCCTTGTTCACGCTCGTGTCTATTTTACCGCCTATTGATGTGAAGCAGAACATGTTGTTGTAGGTTATGATGTTTTGGAGAAGTTTTATTGATAATTCATCATTGCCGAAAAATAGATCATATATACTTTTTGGTGGCAACGTAATCGCCGGCAACTTAATCTTCCCATTGTTGCAGCAGAACGAAAACATCGGAGAACCTTTAGTGGAATAATTTTTCTTCCTTTCTTCGAACCAAAACAACGCCCCACAATGGGCGCAAATATTGGTTGCATCACCCAAATCACAATACTCATATGCAAAAAAAAGGAATTTTAATAGGCGTCCATAAAACGCTGACAATCATATTAGGTATGAAAGTTTGATACATACCATGTGCAAAACCAGAGGATGTTGCATTATCGGAGTTTCGTCGGCCATCGTCAATCGCTATACCGAAATCTGAATTGACTAAAGTTAATGTTAATATTAATTGGGAAAGGTCTTCAATCTTACTTTGCTAGCATTCGTTTGTACCTGACACAGTTCATATTATTACCTGTTATGCTATTAGTGGGTGCTTCGATAAGTAAAGGGATAGATTCCTCTTCAAACGCTGATAGCAAGTTTCTTTTTTATGACATGATCTTCTTCAATTGGAGAGTTATGTAAAGGTTGACGCATTGCTACTTTATCTTGTGCGCTACAACCTATATTGAACACAATAATAAAAGAAACAATTATATTTTATTTGATAATATTCAAAATTATATAACATATGAGTATAGAAAGTTACCAGTTAAGCAAGATGTTGTTATGGTTGATATTGGTTTTTGGAACTCTCCAAAAATAAAATGCTTGCAATTGCTTGAGCCTATGTGTATCTTGCAAGTACCTACTATAAACATACATAATATTTTACAGTACATATATTTTAGTCCATTGTAATACAAAAAAAAGAGTTTGACAAACATTTTTAAAAAATTACAACTATAAGAATATTTAAAGACACATGGAATGTATATCACTAAATTGTAGTAGTTTTACCGTTAGTGATGTTACTCATTGGTGTGATATTCTGAGTCAAACACCCTCCAATAGAACATCGTGTACGAATACTTGCAGTACTTTGCTCTGTACCTTGAGCATCATTATTTGTTGATGATGAATTTTCTAAATTCTTTGTGATATACAATATAACATTATAATTTAAAATAAAATAACATAAGTAACAATCTTATCAATTTAGTACACATAACATAATTCATTAGACTATTATACAACCTAATTTTGTAAGTGCTAAAAATAAGGACAACATTATAAGGCAAATTATTGGGGGTACCATGGTACACACAATTGTGTGAACCATGAATATCATGAACATTTTAAAAATTAAAAAAATAATTTCATTATTTTTGTAACGAAGGTACATGTAATAAAAGATCCTTATAGCTAAAAGTTTATATATTATATAAAACATCTAGCACTATAGTCCAATCTACATTTAATTTCTTTTCTATATTTATTATATAAATTAACATAATATACATATTTAATAGGGTTAGCATTACAATAATACACTTAAATATTCTAGATCATTCCATTTTGTAATAAATATAAGTAAGAATATATATATATATATATATATATATATATACATACACACACACACATATATATATATATATATATATATATATATATATATATATATATATATATATATATATATTAATTATTGAATTAGAGAAAAACAAGAGATAAGGATGAAGGTAACCCAGCCTCCTTTCTCTGTCTCAACCGATGCACCCATTTTCTCTCTCAATCTCAGCCATTTTCATTCATTTCTGACCTCTTGCACAACCCTTGTCTGTATCTCACAATCTAGCATACAGGGCCGGCCCTGGGGCAAGGGCAGGCTGGGCCCTTGCCCAGGTCCCATGCTTGGGGGAAGGGTCCCATCCTATCTCTTATATATATATAGTATATATGTATTGAGTATAAGTAATTTATATACATTTGTTTTACAGTAAAGTGAACTAACTTGGTTGGTAAAATACTTGAATTTTAATCTCATTTAATCAAAGGCCGGTGATCCAATCCTCCCTCCCCTTCTCAATTTAGAATTCCTCAACTTTATTTCTTTGCTTGTATTTAAAAAATTTATTTTTATTGATTTTGTGTGTTTAATACGGAGTAGTATTTTTAATGTATTTTTAAATATATAAATTTTCATATATTTATACTATACATATTATGAAAATTTTTTATATTAAATATATAAATTTTTATATTAAATTTTTAATACATTTTTTAAATTTATAAATTTTTATATACTTATACTAAACATATTATGAAAAATTGAATTAAAAAAAAAATTTCAATCAACTCATGTTAACCAAACAAGACACGTAAAAATAGGACGGAGGGGGTTACATGATATATTTTAAGATTGAATTATAAAAAAAAAATTAAAAGATAATTTACTCCATACCTTTTTATGAATATCTAATCAATGTAATATAGAAGCTTCTATTATGTGTCATTGTATTCAAATTATTCTAAAAAAGTTTGAGATTTATCTATTTAAAAGAAAACGTATTTATAAAAATCATATAAATTGGTAGGGAATACCCCGACCGACATGCCACGTGTTTTATTCTTGTTTATGCAGGTTACAGGTCGGATATTCTTAGAAGAACCCGGTCGTACCCGACCGGCGTCTTCAGTACCCGATTGATAGTCCTTAGGCGAGAGAGTCGAGAAGAGGCACGTGGCAGCGCTAGGCGTTGACAGGCAGGCTTGCGGGGAGAAGACACGTCATTGCTACGTGGGTTACATGCCTGCCGGCCGGAATTGTGTCTCCGGCTTAGCGGCTATAAATATCCGCGACGGCAACAGTGTGGGGGACTTTTGGACGATCGAAAGGCAATTGCTAGAGGATCCCGACCGCAGTCAGTCGGCCCTCAGAATAGCCAGTGTAGATTGTACTTAGGACCTTCACCTTGATCAATAAAAGAGTTTTACTTGCTTTAATTGGTCTTGTGTTATTTTATTTACCGCTTACGTGGGAATTAACACTATCATTTTGGCGCCGTCTGTGGGGACCCGTACAAGTAAGCTAACGTTTGACGAGCACCTGTCCTTTCTCTCATCATGTATCCATTCGCATACAACCTTTTCGGCGACGATCAAGCGGATGCGGCGAGCTCATCCGATCATCAGCCGACCCAGTATCAAGGTCAGACAGTTGACCTCAACCTCAACCTCTCAACGCCGCCATCCGGCAGCTCAGTACCCGGCCGTCCAACAGCTGGTCAATTATATCCAACAAGGATATCCAACACCCGGTTAGCAGCTCCAGTACCCCGGGCAATATCCCTACCCGGTCCCGCCTCCACCATACGGATATTGGCCCGGTCAATCGATGTCTTACACACCACCGGTCGGTTATCCACCTTATACGCCTGCGTACACGGCTCCAGCCGCCGCCCCTCCGATTTACCCGACTGCTCAGGTAGAGCCGGAGCATCAGCCCACTTCCCGGGCTCGACGCTCGGCTCGTTCGCGGTTGGGGTCGCAGGGTGTCGAGGCCATGGAGGTACCACGGCAGGCTCAACAAGCACAACCGGAGGTTCAAGCCCAAGTGGAGGACCCCGAAGAAGCTAACCGGGCAGTAGCATTTGAGCGCCTCCGACCAGCAATGCGGCAACGATTGGGACTGCAGGACCCGAGCCGGCGCTCAGTAGATGTACCGATGCAAGAGGCCAGTCAGGAGGCTTCATCCGGGCATAGTGGGTCAAGATCGCATCGTCGACGACGCGCCCGGGAGACGACCCAGGCCCAGACGGCCGAGCTCAACGAGACCCGAGGACTGCTCCATGACCTCCAGGCAGAATTTGCTCGGTTTCGAAACGAGCACATAGTGAGGCCCCCGGTCGACCAGTCAGCCTCCTTATTGAGGACACCCTTCATGGTGGAGATTATGGCCTAGCCATACCCGCTTGATCTACAAGTCCCGGGGAAAATGTAACACCCCCCCAAAAAAACAACAAGACTTAAAACGAGTCTTAACACATGCAGATTAACAACAAAACACTAGCACAGCGGAAGATAAAAAGATAACTGGATAAAGGAATCCAAAACGGGGTGTTATGCCACGTATACCACACTTGGCATACGCTACGGCGACAATCTGCAAGTGTAACACTATCCCAAAGACAACAAACTAAAACAATCTAAAGACATTGGCACACAGGCCTCAACAACACTGTCTAAAGATACAGGTGCTAAGCTACCGGCTCTAGACATCGCGCTTGACTACGCATCACCTGAAAGATACAAATATAAACATCGGGGCGACGCCCGGTCAGCGAAAGATGCTGGTAACCCACCAATACCGTTAAGTATCATAAATAGGTAGATATATAATATGAAAACCATTTTCGAAACGGAATACATATATATAAGTCAAAAGCCAAGATCAAAAGACAGCACAAGACTCAGCACTCACAAGGATAACACCGGGAACACGTCCCAACCACAAAGGTTAACCACACACAAGGATAAAGACTCACCAAACGACAACACATGCCAAAACGCCACACCACAAGCCTCCGTGACTACACACGTCACGAGAGAAGAGAACTCACCACAACAACGGCTACACAAGCCCTCGTGACATCACCCATCACGAGTTGATATACCTTCTTTATGCCCTGTTCCAACCTTATGGCTACCCCCAACCTTGTACCTTCGGTGCCAACCATTACCTCCTGAAAGCCCCTGTACAGCCAAGTCCAACCTTATTCCTCCGGGACCGTCGTCCCCCACCTATACCCACCAACGAAAACCCACCAATTCACGGCAACACATGCCCGGATAACACAATGTTATCCCCTAAACACGTGGACTCAGCCACAACTCCATAAAATCACGTCACTGCCACCACGAGGACCGCTGCAATACCTTGGTGACTAGCGTCCCATACCACTAATCGTGCAATCCAGGTAAAGCCACACACGCACCACCACTCACACGAAACAAGCAACGGATTGCAAAAGAGGTATGAAACTTACTCAATCAAGAGACAGGTCACCACCCATCGACAACAACGACGCTAGAATTAGGATAATAACTAGCAAGCTCAACAACGAGGAAACTCAAGATAGGTCCGAGGAACACACAAGACACCACACGGTTCAATGAAACAC